TTTCTTTTTAAAGATTTATTTATTTATTTATTTTAATTATTTATTTATTTTATACAAGCACTGGGTACAGTCAGAAGCGCGGAAGGGTGAGAGAATTCACCAGAGCCAGAGCGGAGAACAGAACAAGGAAGTACACTGCTGAGGGGAAGCAACGGGCGGCAGGAGAGGTCTGCGCGCCATGTGGGACCCTCCTCCAGTGGCCGGGGAGCAGCCGGGGATCGAACCGGCAGCGCAGAGGCTGCGGGCAGCTTCGCAACCCAGCGCTCAACCGCTGCGCCACCGGGGAAGCCCTTATCATTTTTGAATAACATCATGCCATAGGTCACCAGTTTACATTAGGAGCGACTATCTTGAAGCCATGTCTCACCTTGGTCCAGTCAGCTGCATCTATATTTCAGGAACTAAAATAAATTCATTTTGACTGTTCAGCAAATAATATTGCTCCTCAGAAGCAAATCTTTATCCTACTTGCTGGGCCCAGGATTATGATGTCAAAAATTGGCATTGAAGCCTCTTCACCATCACTCCTTACTCTTAGCATGTAGCCCTACTGCTCTCTGTGCATGAGATCACCTTTGTAGAAATTGAATTTTAGGTCCAAATCACAGGAATATAACCAAGCAAGTAAAACTTAAGTCAAATACAGTCATTTTCCTTTACTGGCTAATCTCTTTTTTCTACATTGCATAGGTTGTATTTATAAACATTATCCAAATGAGAGTTGGTTATTCAGAATCACAGGCTTCCTTCCACTCACGTGCATGCATCTTGCAAGCTGTCAGCTTCATACATAAACATAAGGGAGTGATTCCTGCCTGTCTCTCAATCACAGCTTTGCACTGACTCTCCCGTCACACTGCACATGAAGAATTTCATTTCCTTTTAGAGAGAGACCCTGGGAAGAGTTGCAGCTTGTATCTATAGTATTGAAAGGAGTAAAAAATATTAGCAATATTATTTTCTGGCAATAGTAGCAGATAGTTACTACCTGCATGGCTAGAGACTAGAATTTATATAGCTGTTCCAAACAATATATTGTAAAGTCTTCAAATTCCTTTTGGTGTTCATTTATCTACAGATAATAATCTTTCACACAATTTACCAAACCTAAATATGATGGATGGATTCCAGAAAAGGCAGGGCATCTTCAAGGCATCTTCAAGGTCAAATAAGCTTCTCTAAAACTAAATTCCTAGATGCCAGGCTTCAAAGAGGATGTTTCCTTGTGTGGGGTTCATGTGAGGCCACCATAGATTGTTGATGCCTTAGATGAGTGGTAATCTGCTGCTGCTCTCCTCTGTTCAACTGCAGAAGTCCAGGCCAGCATACAAGCAGTAGCCATTGCCCATAGTTGCTACTGAAAACAGACTGAAAACAGAAAGGTAGTGTTCTCTCCATGAGAATATACACTTGCTACCTATTTCTCCAGTGCCTCCTTGCCAGGTAGGTCCCTAATTGCAGAGGGCTAGCCTACCTTGCTCAGGTGGCCAATGTCAAGCCTAGTAGGGTTGTTTTAATCAAGTCTGGTTATTGGTCTATAGTGATTTCTTGGTATTGGTTAACTGCTTTAGGGATGAAGTAATTGTTTAGACAGTAGATTGCTTACATAGTTCTTTGTGGAACTGACCTCACTGAGAACAGGGTAGCAGAAAACCTGCGAAGAGTTGCAGCCAGTAGGCACAAGTCAGCCAAACTAGTATTAAAGCAGAGGTTATATGATGGTACATTAATTATTTTAAAAATACAAGGAAAAATGAAGGCAAATATTGCTGAATGGGATGAATGAAATAAAGAGGCAGCCTCCAAGATAACTGAAGATTATTGTTCATCTGCAGATAATTTCCCTTTGGTTCTTAAATTCAGAAGATCTGAAGGATAATTAAATTCTTATGTGGAACAGAGAAATAATACACTTTTCCTCTTATCATTTATCTTCTCCTTTCTTCTTGCCCCACAAAATTACACAATTTAGTGTCAAAAAATTGCTCATGTTCTTTGAACATACCACAATTACACTTTTGTGACTTGGTATATTGTTGTTTCCTAAGCCTGAAATGGCTTCCTTCTCCTAATCTATCTTGAAAACTCCAAGCTAATTTTCAGGAGCAGTTCAAGTTCATCTTCCTTATAAAATCTTCTAGTACTCCCCAGATTGAGTAAGTTACCACTTATTTATGCTCCCACATATATTTCTGCTTGTGCTTCTGTTATATCACTTACCAAGTTGTGTTCTAGTCATCTAATATGATAGTGCTCTGAAATGTTATTGACTCACCTAGGATTAATTGCATATAACAGTGGCTTTAAGAAGATGGGAGCTTATTTCTCTTTCCTATTAAAAAAGCCTAGGGAGGGCCTCCCCGGTGGCGCAGCGGTTGAACGCTGGGTTGCGAAGCTGCCCGCGGCCTCTGCGGCGCCAGTTCGATCCCCGGCTGCTCCCCGGCCACCGGAGGAGAATCCCACATGGCGCGCAGACCTCTCCTGCCGCCCGCTGCTCCCCTCAGCAGTGTACCTCGGTCCTTCTGCCTGCTCTGCTCCCCGCTCTGGCTCTGGTGAATTCTCTCACCCTCCTGCGCTTCTGACTGTACCCAGTGCATGTATAAACAAAACAAACAAACAAACAAATAAATAAATAAATAAAAACATGCCTCTATTAAAAAAAAAAAAAAAAAAAAAAAGCCTAGGGAGAAGCAGTCTAGAATTGCTATGGTAGCTTTCAGATATATATGATTAGAGTTCAGTTTTCTATCTATTTTTTTTTTTTTTGGTCACACTCAGCTTATGGCTTTCATTTTCAAATTCACATCATGTCCAAAATGGCTGCTCAAACTCTAGCCATCTCATTCATGTTCCAGAAGATGAAAGGGGAAAGAAGAAACATGGCATGTCTCCTTTCTTTTAAGAAGACTTTCTTGCTGGGCCTCCTCCCTGGTGGTGCAGTTGGTTGAGCGCCACACTGTGAAGCTGTCCGCAGCCTCTGCAGCACCGGTTCAATTCCCGACCGGCCAGGGAGAATCCCACATGGCGAGGCAGACCTCTCCTGTCTTGCCCGCTGCTCCCCTCAGCAGAGCCTTTAGTCAGGCTGCCTGTTCTGCTCCCCGCTCTCTGGTGAATCCTCTCACCCTCCCAAGGCTCTGACCTGTACCCCAGCTCTTGTATAAATAAAAATAATCTTTAAAAAAAAAAAAGACTTTCTTGAAACACTGCTGAACAATTTTACTTATATATCATTGTCCAGAACTCAGTCATATTACCACATCTAGCTGCAAGTAACTCAGGACAAGATAGTCTTTTCTTTTTAAAGATTTTATTTATTTTTGCCTAGAGGACTGAGGTGCAGACCAGAGGTGTGGGAGATGAGAGGATTCACCAGAGACAGAGTGGGGATCACAATAGGCAGGTCTACTGAAATATACTAAAGGGAGCAGTGGGCAAGACAGGAGAGGTCTGCTGTGCCATGTGGGTCAGCTCCCTGGCGGAGATGGAACTCAGGCCATTGTGGTGGTAAGTGCTGAGACTTAACCCCTATGCCATCAGGGAGACTTGACAAAATAGTCTTTATATGGCATCATTGTGCCGAAAATAAATAAATAAATAAATAAATAAATAAATAAATAAATAAATAAATAAATAAAAATAAAAAAAAAGAAATAAAAAAAAAAAGAAATTAGAAGAGAATGGGTATTGAGAGGTAACTTGCAATGAATTATCTGATACATGATTATTTCTGGTTATTCTCACTGCTTCCATTCTTCTTCCTTTTATTGAAGCTGAATAATCTATGGCTTTAGGAAGAAGTCAGGACCTAGGTGAAAATAATGATCAGATACAATGGGTTTAAAATTTATACTCCTAATTCAGGTGTGCAGAAATGTAATTTTCTTTATTTACTGAACTTGACTTGCCCACAAATGCCTATTTGCAATTATGGCTAGAAAAATATTATCACTTAAAGGTAATACCACTTCTGGTTTTAAAACTGAATCTCTTGGCCTCCCTGGTGGCGCAAGGGGTTAAGCTCAACACTATGAAGTTATTTGAAGCCTCTGCAGCACGATTTTGATCCCTGGCCGGCCAGAGAGCAACCCACATGGCGCAGCAGACCTCTCCTGTCTCACCCACTACTCCCCTCAACAGTGTATTTCAGTCAATCCACCTGCTCTGCTCCCCACTCTGTCTTTGGTAAATCCTCTCATTGTCCTGTACCTCAGTTCGTATATGCATAAATAAATCAATCTTTTAAAAAATCAAAACTAAAAAAAAAAAAAACAATCTCTTTAGGTTAGTATTCAGTAAAATATAAGGCTTTTCACTTGCCTGTTTTTTCTGCATTCTTACCATGCCAGCCTACCATGTGGTCTGATTACCACAGTCTCTCAGCAGTTCTCTAGCTCTCTGGGACCACCAATACTTAGTTATATTAAATGTCTGTCCAGTAACCTATTGGGATCTGGGACACTGTCAACTGTTTTGTTTTTTCCAGTGCCTATTGTGAACGTTGACATTTAAGTAATGGTTAAAACATGATCGATAAATTTATCAGTATACTTTAAATGCATCACATAATTAATTCAAATGGTGGCATAATTATCTGAAAACACTGTAAAATTAAAAGACTATTTCTCTAAAGGCCCTTGCACTAGGTTTATAGCTTTCTTATGGCACTAATAATTCTCAGCTCTCAGTCACAGTGGTTGTATGCTTGTATCACCCCTAATCAGTATGTCTGCTCTCCAAGGAATTGTTCCTAATCTGTGTAATCCTCACGAGTCCTGTAGAAAGCTGTGGATACAGTAGGCCTTCAATCAATGAAAATGAAGAACTAAGCGAATAGAAACGGATATTCTAAAATTTACCTCTAATGAATGAATCCCACTGGGGGAAAATAAATTTTTGGAGCTATTTTAGAATGATGTCTGTAAGCAAAAGTTGATATTTTGCCTTTAACAGAACACTTTTTTTTTTTTTTAAGAAAAAAATTGCTTTTGTTTTTCAGAAATCCTCCACCTACTTTACTTCACCCAGAAAAATGGTGTGAGGAGTTCAACCACTTTATTTCACAGTGAGTATTTCTTCCACTGAAAATAGCTTATCCAGCAAGGTCTTGACAGTGATCGGAGAAATCCAAGATGTGGAATTTACTTGGTGCTAGTAGTTATTATGCCTACTATCATACAGAATTTGTTCCAGGAAATGAAAGAAGATCCCTCTGTAGGATTTGGAAAATATGATGTTCCATTTGACTCTTGACTATATAAGCAGTCCTCCTAATCGTTTGGTTCATATTTCTATGAGAATTTACTTTGTCCTGGGACAGATATTGCCAATGTGTCTTGTTTAATAAGGGAGGAGATTCGACAGCTAGAATTTGGAAACCACTCTAGGATCAGATTGCAGACAGGGTGGCAGCCTTCAAAAGAGGTTTTGTAGCTTTTAAGTTGAACTTTCCAGTACGATCTGTGATGTAGAAGGAGGGTTCTAGTTCCCAGAATGATTGAGGGGGCAAAGTAGAATCTCATGACTGAGCTCTGGTAAGGAGACTCAGCCAGGGCTGGAACAAAATGAAAATCCAACTGATGTGTGACATACTTAGTGAAAGCTCTATTACCGGAAAGTAGGCAAGATTGAATGCTACTAAAGCAGGGGGAGAGCCAGCACCACCACCAACAGGGTGGTGACTCAGTGCTGGGAACATGACCTTTGACCTGGTCTCTGGCAGACGATTGCACTGGTTCCAAAGCTGGGGAAGACTTTAGTGTGCTGGAAGGGACTGTGTTAGGGACCTGGCTAACTGTGAGGACAGGAATCTAAACCAGGCAATAAAAGCCATATCCAGGAGTGGAACTGTAAAAAGCAGCCCTCAGTGTCTGTTGTATCAAGTGTCAGAAGTCATGAGAGGAGAAAAAGAGTGACCAAAATAGCTGACAAATAGGAAACAGGGTATTTCTCTAATGTGTACCTATGTGCAGCCTTAATGTCCACATAGAGGCAGGGTAAAGAAGCAAAACGGGTCTCTAGATTATCATCTTTGATTAATCACAGTATTGATCAACAATCCCTTATCCTCAGTTCTGAAATCCAAAGAATTATGAAAAACAAGATTTTTTGTACTTGAGTCTTTACTGCAAGTCCTGACCTTATGTGAACTGATTTGGTGGCAACACATGACCTAAAATGATGTGAGGCTATTTTTAGTCCTTATTTATCTCATGCAGTGTGAATATTCATGTGAATTGCTGCAGATATATTAATGTATTTGATTATAGCGTGCTGCCCCAGATCCTGCTGGGGATGTTACATAACATACAGTAAATATACCAGTTTACCTTTATAAAATTTGATAAAATTCTGAATTCCAAAATATATCTGACCCCAAAGGTGTTATATAAGGAGCTATATATTTCAATTTCACTTCAAATGCAACATAGTTCAAGGTCCCTGAAATTGCATGTCTAGTCCCTCCTGGTTTTGTGCTATCCTGCTCATGAGAAAGGAGTTGTTAAGAATTCTACCAAGAAAGGCTATGTTTGCACATGGCCTTGAAGTTCAAAGCCAGGGGTGGAGGACATTTCCTTGCCTTTCCAGCCCCATTCTGATGTTTCTGCAGACTGTATAATGTGTCAGAAGGGACCACAGTCAAGTTTTGAGAAGAACAGCAGATGTAGGAAGAGGGGCAATGTTGACATAGGAGCAGAAAGTCACTTCCAGATTTGAGAGCCAAAGGAGGGGGAAAAAAGAAAGAGCTGAAGACACACTGATGGCTGGGATCACATTTCAGAGCACCCACAGGGAGAGAAATTCTGGGTTAAAGTTCCAGTGCTTTGCTAGCAAAGGTTAAACCCCCAAAATTTCTTTTTTCCTTCCATTGCTTCACATCGATACCCTTGATTGCCCTTCTCTGAGCTGCTGGCCTAGAAAAACCCATTACATATTCACTAGTACACCTTCCTATACCAGCTCTTGTGATTCCTCTAGAATGTGACTTGACTCACCAAAATCTGGCTTCTGTATACTTTTTCAGAAGTATGTTTATTCTTAAACTAAGCACAGTATTGTCCGATGGATTTAGGAATTAAAGGCACATCATTGATAATATGGTTGGGATTTTAGGGTTAAACAAAATATAGAAATCCCTCCCTACCATTGAATCTTTTCTTCATGGCAAATCCTAATATATGCCCATTTCAATGTTTGCCCCAACTTTGAGACTTCTAGTTGCTTTAAACTTAGAAAGGTCTTGGTACTAGAATGGAGGACCAACCACAGAAAACAATGACGTTAGCGTATATACTGTCAAGAGCAAAGAACAGCTACCTTGTTGAAACTGCAGGGGAGGGAAGAAGCACAAGAGATTCTAATAAAGCAAAAAGGTAAACAAGTAAAGTGTGTGCTTTATTAATAATGTAGATATAACAAAATGCCATCAATCTTCTCTAATGAGTTGTCCTTATTGTTTCTAGTGAAAATATGTATTATATGTGTTGATAGATTTTCTTCCCTGACCTCAACTCCCCAATCCTGTATCTCCATGGCATGTTAAATTCCTCAACCATGAAAGATTTTGTAAGATTTTAAGAATGTCCCTCTTAAGATTAGGGAATACTTATATCTTTAGAGAGAAGCTTACCCACTATACCCAAATAATACCTTTTAAGTTCATAGACAATTCTGCTTACCCCAGGCTGCCATTGCTCATCCTACCAAATGTAATTTGACTTTACTATTTCAAATCTCTAATTAAATATAAACAATGACATTCACTGGATTAGAAATGTCTATTTAAAGAGCCTTAGTTTGCCTTTGTACTTATCATGTTCATATTGGGAGGGAAGGAGAAGGACGGAGGATTTATGACCTTCCGATTATAAGTTTTTCATTGTTGGTGGGACTGGGTCGAGGAAGATGATTATCTGGTAATTTTCGGGAAAGTGTTTTTAGCTGGAATTATCCAGATAATTGCTTTAATTCCCTTTGTAGACTGAACCATAGTGCATTGTATTAAACTAAAATGGTTTTCTCTAAAGAATAAATAGAACTAGAAAATCTTTAACAGCCTTGAAACCGCCAATGCCTTTTCCCCATGTGACCCTGAACCATGTAGCAGAGTCAGTTCAATAATTTCTGTCTTTTTGGTCCTTGATGGTCATCTCCAAAAGACCAGTGTGCCTTCTAATTGATTGCTGTAGTGGTCAGAATGGGTTGGCCTTGCTGCAGCCCAGTGATTATAGTAGTGGCTACAGGAGGGCAGTGTGGGGGAGGGGCGGTGGAAAGGGAGGGAGGGAGATGGAAGACTATGCACAAGGGTTTAGGTGGTGAAGAGGGCGTGAGACGTGGCTTAATGGTTTTCAGATTTATTTCTTAACCCTCTTAATTTGGAGACAGTAGGAGAGATTTTAAGAAAGTCTGAAATCCTATTAGTAAATTTATGTAGAAGGTTAAAAGTAAAAACAAAGTCAGCCTGTTTGGTTCTGAACCTTTAGTCGTTAGTGATAATTGACTCATTTGTATGTGTTAGTTATGCATTTGTCAAAGCATGACTCCTGATGGCTTAGTTATGATAAATTAAACATGATGCTACATAAATTCTGCACTGCTTTTTATTCATATGTTAGGACCCTGCCTGATGTTTTTTGTCACCTCTGTAAAGTGTGGTTGGCTTTAGAGATTTCATTATCAGCCCTTTCCCCTATGGCTAAAGCTATTTGCATAACAATTTTATCTGGTTCAAGTCCTGGCCAGAATTCTGTTTTGTCAAAAGGCTCCATTCAGGAGTAGCCTTTTGAGCAGATAAGGATAATTTTCCTTTGCCAATGTCATTTTGGTACTAATGAATGTCACTTCCTATTTTAAGTTCAAACTAATTTCAGGTCTTTGGACTAAACTACAAAAATACCTCCTATCCTTTGGCCAAAGGTATATGAAAGCTGTGATTTTCATTTTGCCTCTAGAACTTTTGTAGTTTTATTAGCAATTAGATTTAGAACTTCATCATCCATAACTCTTGAACTGATTAGTGAGACAATAAAGATGAATTAATTTTTCCTGGTCAAGGGCAAATGAACAAAGAGTACCGTGCTGCTCAGCTTTGGACCTGAACTATTTGGTTGCCCACACAGACACTGCTTTCCTGAGTTGACAGTCTTGACCAGCTTAGTGTGCAGGTGTGTATTTCTCAGAGTGAGCTTCCTGAGTAGCACTACCATTTAGTTAGGCAACATTCCCATTCCTTCAAATGGCTGCAGGCAGTTGCACCAGATGGATCTCTCTGAGCTATAAAACTACCACTAATAGGCATCTTCATATATTTATTTTTAAAAATTGAAGCTCAGGCCTGGAACTCTTTTTTTTTTTCCCTCCCTCTAGGCCTAATGTTTATGAAGGTAACCATTTTGTGCTGGTTGTTTCCCTGACATTAATTGCATTCCCCTCAAGGAAACAATTCTCAGCTTTTCACCATTCTCCATTGTGTTTCAAGGCAGCTTAATTCCACATGGTTTTATAATGTCTGTGAACAACATACTTAGAATGATAAATATCTTAACTCTGTAGTTGTTAAGTCTCACAAATATTCTTGGCTTTTTAAGTCTGGGTGATTTGCAGGTAGTCATGCAAAGGGTTAATATTTCCTGGAGTTGGATACAATAACCTTTATTTACATTACCTCACAAATTGGTAATTTTAATTACAATGAGCAGCAGTATCTCCAGTGACACACTCTCTCCATTTTAGATTTATTTAGCCAATGATTAGCTATTATGGCTTCTTGAATTAATTAGCATCTCTTGAGCTACAGGGAATTAGTGAATTAATAAAAACTCATGGAAAAGCTCAAAATAAAAGCAAAATTCTAATTAAAACCCAAATTCTCTTCTCTCCTTAACATATATTGATCAATATACTTATAAATGCATCCCTTCTTTCTCATTTTGAAAAGTTGGGATTTTTTTTTTTTATCTTCAAGAGAAGAACAAATAAAGCTGTGCATTTCAAGGTTATATCTCCCCGAAGAGCTTCTAATTTAGATTATCAGATAGATCATATAAAGACACTGAGGACCCAATT